TTCAAAATTTTCATTTTTCATACCTTATTTAGGACTCAAAAAACTAATATTATTTGATAGTTTTTTTGAAAACATAGTTATGTAATTGATTTTATTCGTAATTTTAAGATTTTCAGTCCATAATACATTAAAAATAAATGAAATATAAAATTTACCCAACAATTTTAAAAGCGTATTAGATTCTCAAATAATCTTTTTGGAAGGTATTGAATTTTCTCTAAATCCCAACATTTACTTATTAAAACTGATTAAAGTTATTTATTTGTTATCTATTCAGAATGATTTATTTTTAAGTGTTCTATTATATTATTAAAAAATTAGCAATACCTACCAAAGTAAAAAAGAAGGAATTTGGTATTTTAATACAATTTTATAATGTACTATGAACCCTATACTATTGCTGCCCAAAAATAAATAACATCATTGAAAATTAATGTTATGGTCCACTTGTAGCAGTCTCTGTTTGGAGTTTCACTGATACCAATTTGTAATTATATTGAATTAAGTTCTTTAAAACCTAGTGGCATGCATAAAAATTGTTTTAAGAATGTGTAATTTAGAGATTATTTGGTAAATGTACCTAGTTAAATATAGAAAAAAGAAAAAGATTTCACTAAGCAATAATGAAAATATCATTAACAAAACCTCCTTTGTGCTAAAATTTTAACAAAATACTCAATTTTTCTCCAGTATAAAATTAATATGATAGTAATGTTGAATAAATTACTAAAACTACTTAAACTACTTTATTGTTGCTGGTTTTTAAATGTGTAACATATTTTCAAACATTCCTAGTTTAAATTTGCATTATTAAAAATGTAAAACTATTCAACACAATTCATTAATTTTTATCTTTATATTTAATTTTAGTCTTGGAGAGATTTAAAAACCAAAGTTTCAAAAAAAGCATCTGCTTTAAGAAATGATAAGAAACGAACTGGCAATAAGCAAATTGAATTAGCTGAGTTATCTGAGATTGATAATAAGGTTTTAGGACTAGTAGGATACGATTATGTTGAGGGGACAGTTTGTCCAGATTCGTTTCCAGAAGAACTGGTTAGTTTGTATTGAAATTTAGTATTTATTTATTGTTTTTATTTGTTATAGAATTAAAATTTATTGGTTTTTAGCCTGATGATGTTGAGCAATTGGCTGGTGGTAATTATGATATTTTGAATATAGTACCTACTCCACTCACCATTAGGCCAAACCAGGATCCAGATATCATTGGTTAGTAATTGTATTTAATATATAAGTATTATAAACTAAAATTAAGTATATAATTTGTGTAGCTCATTCTATTTTTCAATATAATATTTTGTTTCTAAAAAAATGGTACCTACAGTCGATTTGTTAATTAGTATATGTATTTTGTGTTTATATTTTCTACTTTTAGAAGCTGATGCAGAGGAAATCATTGACGATCCTTATTATACTGTTGAACTAATAAAAGATAGTACAAATGAAATAAGTTCACTTATAGAAACCAACAAGACAATGACACCACACATTCTAATAAATGTACCTGCTGAATCAAATACATCTTTTATTTCTGAGACATCCATTGATCATTCATCTGGCAAACAACCCATATTGCCAAACATATCTGCCAAACATTCTAAATTTTCAAACACACCAACCACTAATTTAAAAAAGACTAAAAGGGGTAATTAATTAAGAATTACAAATATAGAACGATTTATCTAGTTGCACTAATAAACATTTTTAATTCTAGATGTCAAACTTAATACACAGTTAAGCAATGCACGTGCTGTATTCACTGATTTAGCTAAAACTAACAATCAACAATTGGAGGTACTTTTCTAATATTATATTGAAATCTACTTAACTATATTATAGATAACTGAACTAAATATCAATGTATATTTTAGTTGTTAACTACTTCATTAAACATGTTTGCTGAAAGCAATAAGCAAATGGCTGCTGCACTTAACAAAATGGCTGAAAATGATGAAAAAAGACTGTTAATGGACGAGAAACTTGTTACCATATTATCAACTGTAATTTCTAAATTAAATTAATTTTTTTGTTATTTCTAATATTTTTAGTTAAAAAAATAAAGATCATATCTATATTTTGTTTTGTTTTATTATTTCCTGGTACATACAATTTATATTTTTATTTGTTAAAAGTCTAGATAAAAAAAATATATATGTTGTTTTGTTTTAATATTAAGTTACATATACATAATTATACATTTAGTACACAATTTTAATTTTGTTAATTTTTTAAAAGATAAAAATAAAGGGTTGTTTTGCTGTATGTTATTTATTGTTTTCATAAATCACCATCAATATAATCAGGAAACCAATTCTGCATGATTTGCTTTTGAATCCGCATTGCTACAGCTCTAGGTCCACCTCTCTCCATCATTTCATTATCTTCTAAATGTCTTACACCATAATCATCATTAATCCAGTTGTCAATATTTTCCTCTTCTACTGGCACACGGTAATGAATTCTCATGTTATGAAGGACAGCACATGCATTTACAATTTTACCTGCCATTTCAGGTGAAACCATTAATAACCGTTGATATGACAAGCACCTCCATACACTTTTAAAAACTCCAAAAAATCTCTCTACAACATTTCTAGCTTTGCAGTGTTTAATTGTGTATTTGAACTGTCTCGTGCCTTCTCTGTAGTGAGGTAAAGGCGTCATGAGCCAAGGCTCTAATGGGTAGCCAGAATCACCTACATATTAAGTATACAAACAAATGTATAATCTAAATATTTTAAAAATATTCTAATTTTAAAGTTGCAAATTTATTACCAATAAGCCAAGTGTGGCGTTCACCATTATTATAATGGTATTCCATGGCACGACGAATAGAAGAAGTGCTCCATATGTAGGAATCATTTCTGGCTCCTGGATATCTGGCATTTATATTCAATATTTTTAGTTTTGGACTTACTATCTGAAAAAGTAATTTGTTAAGAATAATATTAGGTTATAAAAACATATTGCTAAAATACATACTGCTTGAACGTTCAATGAGTGATTACCATGATGGTTAACAAAAGCTTCTTAATGTACCTTAGGCGCCAGAATATTAATAAATGTACAATCTATAGCCCCAATGGCACCTTCAAATGGCTGTGGTGCATTACTAAATTGTTCGCGGGCATTATTTCTTTCTATAAGTGTCATAGGAAATTTGACCCATTTCCGTAACAGCGTATTGTTTATAGCATCAGTGACAGCATGCAAGCACCTACTCACTGATGGCTGGCTAACATTCAAATCAAAATGATCGCCAGTAGCACGTTGATAGCTTCCTTTAGCATAAAAGTACACTGCAACTAATACCTACAATTCAAGCATTTAAATATTGTCTTAATAAACACTTGATTGCTATTCTGTATTATAATATAAACGTATTACATTTATTAATTATGGAAGTTCAATAAGAATTGTAAGAAAAATATGATATTTCTTTTTCTTTTTTAAAATTAGGTATTCTAAAAATATAAAGTATAGAATTCAATAATTTTAGTAGTATAAAATGGATAGTTCTGATGCCTCATCCCATGACCCCATGACCATTGCCTCATCCTTCACCCCCTCATCCTCATCACACCGCCCGTCGCCGCCCGATTCTGACACCGCATCCCCGCATCCTCATCCCGCTGCTGAGCGTTACTTATATTATTGTTATCACACGTTATCACTGTTATCGTATTTTATCACATGTTACGCCCGAAAATAAGCTAAACATTTTTTCCGGACCGGGATTCGAACCCGAGTCCGTCGGTTTGGCAAGCGATCACCGTACCACTGAGCCACCCCGTCACATATACTTTATAATAATAACTTGCCCTATTTAACAGGTACGTTAAATACATAAAACTGCAAAAGAAACATTTAATAATAGATTGCAGCTGCGCGTATTGTCATTAGTAAATCCGTTCGCACGCTCGCCGAACAATCAATAAATGACCATTATACCTAGAGTATATCGAATAGAAGAAGCATTAGCTATCAATTCAGCCTGTATAATAATAGTCAGTCTACAGACTGTCGCCAGGATGTCGCGGATTCTTAAGTATTACTTACTTTACATAAAACTGCAAAAGAAACATTTAATAATAGCTTGCAGCTGCGCGTATTGTCATTAGAAAATAGACATCCGTTCGCACGCTCGCCGAACAATCAATAAATGATCATTATGTCTATAGCATATCGAATAGAAGATGCCAATTAATGAAAAATACATTAACCCTAATAGCCTAATTATTGTCATAGCCAGGATGTCTTAATAGCCACCTCTCATACACTAATAATACAAGTATCTGCCACAAGAAGCATTAGCTATCAATTCAGCCTGTAAAATAATAGTCAGTCTACAGACTGTTGCCAGGATGTCGCGGATTCTTAATAGCCACCTCTCACGTTTGCACCCATCTTAACATTAGTCCACAATGGTACTTCCCTCGTAGATTTCCGGCCATTAGATATTATTCGTATTTAATATTTGTTCACACACAAGGAAACATTATAAAATAATCAATAAATGACCATTATACCTATAGTATATCGAATAGAAGATACCAATTAATGAAAAATACATTAACCCTAATAGCCTACTTATTGTCATAGCCAGGATGTCTTAATAGCCACCTCTCATACACTAATAATACAAGTATCTGCCACAAGAAGCATTAGCGTACCTCTGCTTATATATATCACCGAGTATAGCTGAAACGGTTTAGTATACCCGACACATTCATCGTTCTCGTTCCAACTTTAAAAAATTTCCAACGTTGAAAAATTTTTACAAGTGTTTTTCTTTTCGTTTTCATTTTTCTATCATCATTACCTTAAACATTTTAAAAATGTTTCAATGCGAACAGTGTCCTTCGGTTTTCACCATGAAACACAATTTGGTCGCCCACCAAAAGAAGCATGCGGGTATACGTTTTCCGTGCACTGTTTGTCCTTCAACATTCACATACAAGTCACATCTTAAAAGGCATATGAAGAATATTCATGGTATGTATTAATAATATAAAGTTTTATTTCTATCTATTATACAATATTAATTTATATTATATTTCCTAAGGTATCGTCAACGTTCCAGTCCATTTGAGACCAGCTACACCGATCACCGCTCAACCAGCACGACCAAGCGTCATACAGTTCGCACCTCTTGCCGCTCCGCAGGGAGATATTCAAATCGCGCCGCAGATATTTGTCCCCGATGTTCCTGCTGGTGCCTCGAACATGTTAACCGAAGACGAGATTTGCATGGCAGCTATGGACGAATTCGAAGATACAGGTTAGTTTTGAAACCCGAATTAATTAGATTATTAAAATAATTTACCCGCCGTGGATTAATTACACAAAGACATATATCGTTATATTATAAACTAAGGTTGATTAGATTCGATACCACTTTTTTTATTTTCATTAGATATTAATTAGGATTTTTCTTTTAAAGATTCTTACACCGTTGCCGTTAACGGGAAACGTGTTTCGACTGCCAACACCGTGTCGGCTGCTAGAGCAAAAAAAATAGGATGGACATGGTTAAGACTCCTGGCTTCACTGAAATTTCCTCGTCAGCGAATCGAAAAATCGTGTGGTATTATGCCAAAAATATTAACAACGTTCGAAATTATCCCGACTTTCTCCGCTCGCTCATGCCTGAGCTTGAACATTTATTGAAAACACGCGTTCAACAAGGGGCGATTAAATTCAATTTAAAGCTTGAGGCTACGTACAACCGGCCCAACGTCCTCAATTCGTCGGAGAACCGGGCATTTAAGACAGTGGCAGTAGAAATTTTCTCAGATAGTGACATTAGTACGATCATTGAGAGGGCGTATATAAAGTTGTTGAAGGAGGAGGAGGAGTATAAGTCGTGCGGTAGTGGATTTACTCTGGAGACAATAGACGGCTTATTATTAGGAATATACAATTACACACCAATGACTGGGTCGTCATATATTGAATTACCGGCGTATATCTATAGGAAGCGGGCTACGATAAACCCAAAAAATACAGACCAGCAATGTTTTAAGTGGGCAATATTGGCGAAACATGTGACTGGGCTGGCGGTATGTCGTATCGGAGAAAATTATAAAAAACACGAGGGGAAATATAATTTTGACGGTATTTCGTTCCCTACACCTTTATCGGATATCTCCAAATTTGAAAAAAATAATATCAACGTGTCCATTAACGTCTATGGAGTAGAGAAAAAGTTCCAGCCACCTCGTAAATATCCGACGTATGAGGTGTATCCGTTACGTGTGGTCGACGAGTAGAAATCAGACCACTTCGACCTGCTGTTAATAACGGACGACGAAAACTCGCATTATATATATATTTCAAATTTTTCCCGGCTCATACGCAAGCAGAAAACTATACATGATGGACGCGTCGTGTTTTGTAAAAGATGTTTTACTAGTTTTGATGATAGACGACACAAATACAAGCTGAGCGGACAGGAGGCGCTGAATCAACACAAGCTTATATGCGGTGCAAATAAGCCAATATTACCGGTGATGCCTAAGGAGGGGGAGTGTCTGCAATTTGAAGCATGGAGAAACACTCAGAGACATCCTATAGTAATATATGCAGATTTCTAAACTATACTTATGAAGACGGATGAGAAGAAGGGGGGAAATACAAAAATAATGCACAGACATGAAGCGATGAGCTATGGACTCATTGTGAAGGCGAGCAATGACGTACCGACAGAGCTATTAGCGAGACACGAGATACCAACGGAACCAATATTATATCGAGGAAGTGAGAGTCAGCCTGATGTGGCGAGACATTTTGTCGAAACCGTGACGGATATATCGTTGAAGATTGAGAAATTATTGAAGACGAATATTCCGATAAATATGTCCGCAGACGACATACAAGTTCATGAAGCAGCGACGCACTGCAATCTATGCAAAATTGAGTTTACCCCACCTTCAGAGGTACTATATCGTAAGACAGCTGACCATTGCCATCTCACAGGAAAATACCGTCAAGCTCTCTGCAATGTATGCAACCAACAACTACAAACACCCGTTTTTGTACCGTGCTACTTCCATAATTTGTCCAACTATGACGCGCATCTGATAGTCACAGAACTTGGTTATGACACCCAGACTATTAGAGTAATACCAAACACTGAGGAAAAATACATATCATTCTCTAAATATGTGTCAAGTAAATTCCAAATCCATTTCATAGACACTTTTAGATTCATGGCATCAGGACTATCAACTCTAGCTAAAAATCTTGTAACACCAGGTCTGGAGAACTTCCGTGAGACCGCTAAAGTTTTTAATAATGTCGATATGCCGCTCGTGACTCGGAAGGGAGTGTACCCGTACGAGTACACAGATAGTTGGAGCAGGTTGGATGAAGAGAGACTGCCGAGAAAGAGAGACTTTTATAGCACGTTAAACGAGTCGGGAATAAAGGAGGAGGAATACACGCATGCAAAGGAGGTCTGGGACCACTTTGGCTGCAAGACGTTGGGCGAGTACAGTGATCTGTACTTGAAAATCGACGTGTTGCTGTTGGCGGACGTCTTTGAAAATTTTCGTGATGTGTGCATAAAGACATACAACTTGGACGCGGCGTATTATTTTACTGCACCAAGATTGAGTTTTGACGCGATGTTGAAGTTTACCGGGAAAAAGTTGGAGCTGTTGAGTGATTACGATATGTTATTAATGTATGAGAATGGTTAGTATATTATTTATAAAATATGAATATAATAATAATCTTATTAATTTTTTAGGTATTCGTGGTGGATTAGTGCAGGCAAGCATGAGACATGCCAAAGCGAATAATATAAATACCCCAGACTATGACGAAACTAAGGAGAAATCGTGGTTGATATACCAGGACTGTAAATATATTTATTTATTTATTTATTCATTTTTACAAACTTAAACTTTACAGGTAATAATCTCTATGACTGGGCTATGTGTCAGTTTATGCCATACGGTGACTTCAATTGGGTTGAACCGTCTCTTAACGGATTAGCTGATTTAAACGACACATCAGACAAAGGGCGAGTATACGAAATTGATGTCTCATACCCGCAAAAATTACACGGCAAACATAACGACCTGGCCTTCCTGCCACAAAACGGTATACCACGTGGGCCGAAGGTGAAAAAATTGATGGCAACGTTTCAGCAGAAGAAAAATTATATTATACATTACCGGAACCTACAGCAGGCAATTGAAAATGGGTTAATAGTTGAAAAAGTAAATATTTTTATTTTACAAGATTTAAATTAAATTTTTAACATTATATCTTAATTTATAGGTGCATAGAGTTTTAGAATTTAGTTAGTCTGCATGGTTGGCGGATTACATTAACTTAAACACAGAGATGAGAAAGAAGTCACAGAACGACTTTGAGACAGACTTTTTCAAATTAATGAATAATGCAGTATTTGGTATGTTACTTTATACTATTTATTCTGATTTTATTAACATTTTATTTTTACAGGTAAAACGATGCAGTCTAAAAGAAAGGAGATGAAGATGGAGTTGGTGTCGTGTGAGAGACGACTACAAAAACTTATTAATAAGACGACATTTAAACATGCTACCAACTATAGAGAAAACCTGAACGCGGTGGCGTTGGAAAACAAAATAATCAAATATGATAAGCCTATATATATTGGTAAATATACTTTTTTTTTAAATTACATGTTTATCATTTATTTACATATTTTGTATAGGATTTGCTGTACTTGACATTTCCAAGACGATGATGTACGATTATCACTACAACGTAATGCAGAAGCACTATGGTGATAATATCAAACTTATGTATACTGACACAGGTAAATATACTAAAACTATTCTCTTGTGTGTATATGTATATATATTAATTATTATTTCAGATTCGTTGGTATACCATATTAAAACTGAAGATTTTTACAAAGACTTGATTGAGAATCCCAACTTGATGGATAGATTAGACACGGCGGACTTGCCTCCTACCCATCCGTGCTACACTACAGCTAGGAAGAAGGTGCCCGGGTTTTTCTCTGATGAAGCAAAAGGACATATAATGACAGAGTTTTGTGCACTACGTGCAAAATCATACGCGTACAACATATATACAGGAGAAGAGAATGTGGTGAGAGAGCAGATCAAGGCGAAGGGTGTAAGACAGCATGTGGTTAAAAACCACATGACGTTGGAGGATCATGTTAAGTGTTTGTTTGGGGAAGAAGGATTAGAGGCGTACAAGGAGAATGTTTCAATAAGGTCATTCAAACATCAACTCATGACGATTAAAACTAAAAAATTAACATATAACAGCTACGATGACAAAAGAGTGGTGCTAGAAGATAAAGTCCACACACTAGCACATGGACACTATAGTATAGAGTAAGTTTTTAAATTATTTTATATTTTTCCAATTATTGTACTCATATTTATAATTTTATAAGGATGATAACGAGCAGATTGTTGATTGGCCTGAATTAGAAGAAGAAGGACAGAACTGGAACGATGAAGAGAAAGATTTAATGAGATTACTTCTAAGGGGGTGCATGTCTAAATAATTAAATACTGTATATATATTTCTAATTTGTAAATACTATGTATATATTATATTGAAAATATTATCATGTTATATATTGTAAATACTTGATTTACATTAATGCATATATTTGTGTTATATTGTAAAATATCATGTATATTTTTGTTATCTATAACCATGTATTGAAAATGTTAGGTTACCTATGTAAAATAAAAAACTAATGTTAAAATATTATTGTTATATTTTTTAAGAATTATTTATAAACTATTTTCTTATAGCAAAAACTTTATAAAATGTACACTGTTTAGGATTAAATTCCATATGAAAAATACAACAAGGTGAAGTTTCGTCATTGCATATTTGATCCAAACGAGGGCGGCCCAAGTCTTCATCTTCAATGTTGATGAGTGCGACGTGTGGTATATACTCCATAAGAATTTGTTTTTTCTGTTCACCTTTGACGTAAATACAGGTGAACTTTAATGAATTCAATATTTTACCGAGTTCTTCATACTCGATATCGCCGTATTCTATAGGTAGTTGATGGTAACTACGTTCCAGCCACTTGTTGGTTTTACGACTTTTGTTATCCTCCAACGATTTTGAATGTTTAAAAATCCAGTGTTGGGTCGCCCAAGTTTCTGTGTCTACTATAGACATTTCTTTAATCATATATTTATTGTTAAATCCAAGAACGCATTGCATGTCCAAGATGGCTGAAGACATTATGGTTTATTTTTCAACTTGTCTGTATTTTCTTTAATATGTTGTAAGGATGCGTCAATTCTTTTCATGTAATCTATTTGTAGTGATTGAAATGTAACAATTTGTTCTCTTTGTTCTTTAACTGAATTTTCGAATTTATCTAGTTTATTCGAATACGATTTAACAATTTGTTCGAGATTTATTAAAAATGTATTAGTTTCACCAGACTGAGAACTACCGAACACGTTCATGTCTGTAGCTCGACTGAAGTTATTTTCTAATGTCACTTGTATTTATCCAACTATTGTGTGTATTGTCAAACCCTAGCCATTTGACAAAAATTTGATCCCCCCTCTTACGGATAATTTTGTCTACTAAATAGTCATTTGGATAGTTTGTTTTCAATATTTCTTCTGAATAAAAGCAACCAGCAATTGGTTTTCCAGTATAATCTTGTAGCTGATAAGTAGTAGGTAATGTTTCATTAATTTTAACAATTTTGAATATTTCTGTAGACCAGCTCGGTAAATAACCTTTTCAAATACACCTTTATATGTACTAATACGAACGTTATCACCCACGTTAAATTTGATTGATCCATTAATAATTTTTCGTTTCTTTATTTCCACTGACGTAGGATTAGCATCAGCTTGTACAGGCGTCATTCCTATAGTTCTATGTTTTGAATTATTATATTCGTTAATCAACGACTGTAAAATAGAAACCCATTCGTGAGAGCCACGTGCCGTAAAGTCTCTAAACATTTTTTCTTTCAATGTGCGGTTGAAACGTTCTACAATACACGCTTTCATAGTACTGTAAGTAGAATATTTGTGTATGTTGTATTTAGACATTAACGCATCAAATGTAGAATTGTAAAATTCTTTACCATTATCAAGCTGTAATAGTTTTGGTGTGCGTTTAATCAGTATTTTAGACATTGCGCTGGAAACTTCTTTAGCAGTTTTAGATTTTAACGCTATTGCCCATGCAAATTTAGTAAAACAATCAATTACACATAGAATATATTTATAGCCTTTATTTTTTTTCGAATACGGTATTATTTCGACTAAATCTGCCTGCCATAGATCGTTTTTGTCATAAACATTAACTCTACGTCTCGTATAATTTTTTCTAGCTGGTTTGTGGAGTTCATAAGCTATATCACGTTTAGACATTTGGAATACGTTTATTAACCCTGCTTCACGCAATTCTTCAAAAATCGAGAGTATTTCATTCGAAACGGCTGTATTACCAGCAGCTTTAGAAGCTAAAAGAAGTCGTAATCGATCGACTAACTCGTTTGGGTCGTTCCAGTATACTAAATTATGTTTTTGTAATTTAACCTACAGCCCAGCGCCCGATGGAAACAGATTTTGGATTATATCTGTATATTTATTTCCGCCTTTTTTAATTTTTTTCCCATCTGCTTTTAGATGCGCCGATGTTTGAATTAATATAGACTTGTATGTTTCTAAATCGTTTTTGGTGTACAATTTTGGAGATTTTGAAAATATTAAATTACCAAGTCCTTGTGTTAGTGGATATGATGTATCTTCAATAGTTAACGTATTATCAACGAGTTTAATTTCTTTTTTACCTAAGTGTACACTTCCATTTGTTTGTATTTTAGGTCCGTACGTCTTGTCTATATCGTAAGACTTAAACCAATCGTTAAAAGCTAGCGAATCGTCTGTGTCGTTAAAATATTGAGAATCTTGAATGTCTTGCTGTGTAGGCGGAGCTTGAAATGCTGATGGACCGAAACGTTTTATTTTTTCTAATGGTTCGATAATAGGACTTAACGTTTCTGATACTAATGAATGAATGTCGGTTTTTCCTTGTTTTAATGCTGTATACTTGCGCTTGATATTTTCTTTGGCTTTAATCAGTTCTCCGAGTACATCACCACTGACAGCCATGACTGTGAATGAAGCATTTCCACAATAACAACACTTTATATAATGACGAACGTGTCAAATCCTTGACGATATCGACCGTTGTCACGTTCACAGTCTTTGTTTATCACGATAAACTCAAATCTCCCCAGACGCCAACACGAAGTGCAAAAGTCTTTAAACTCTGAATATGACATGTCGCCAGATGCTCATTGTATACATGCTTTAAATTAGTTTCGTCTTGTTTGAATAATACAATAAAATTAGCGTTATCGCGCAAAAGTTGTTTTGATACTTTTGAATAACTCTGAGCCAGATAGAATACATCAACTAAATTATGACGACCTCTGGAGAAGTAAGTTCTTGCAATCTTTTGGTTTTCAGTAATAATATCGTCAAAAATAAATACAGAGTTTGTTAAAGCTTTCTCAGGTTCAATAACTTGTTCGTTTTCATAGAATGTAAATAATTTTATACCATCAATGTCTGATAATATATCATTTAGCATTTTATATTTAGGTTGATCCAATGTTTTTGAATATATGTATACGTTGTGAAATCGTATTCCGTTTATATTG